ACAACAAATTCTAACGTTCACTCTTGAAAACAAATGCCAGGTGTTCTGAGCTGCTCCCACAAGTTGTGTGTGTCTAAGTGGTGTAGCAGGTCACTATCCATTTCCCTTTGGATTATGGGGGCTTCATTCGGCTCCCTGCCCTGTCTTCCAGCTCAGGGGGCTGGGTACCCTGAGAACAATTGGTCTTACTATTAAAGAATGAGGCAAAGAAGGCATTAAGTACCTCAGCCTTTCTCTCATCCTTTGTCACTGTGTTTCCCCCTACATCCAAAACCAGATGGAGAATCTCCGTAGCCCTCCTTGTGTTGATCATGTATTTATAGAAACACTTTTTATTGTCTTTTACAGCAGTAGCCAGATTGAGTTCTAGCTGGGTTTTGACCCTTCTAATTTTCTCCCTGCATAACCTCACAGCATCCTTGTAGTCCTCCTGAGTGGCCTGCCCCTTCTTCCAAGGGTCATAAACTCTCCTTTTTTTCCTGAGTTCCAGCCAAAGCTCTCTGTTCAGCCAGGCCAGTCTTCTTCCCCGCTGGCTCGTCTTTTGGCACATGGGGACAGTCTGCTCCTGTGCCTTCAAGATTTCTGTCTTGAAGAACATCCAGTCTTCCTGGACTCTTTTGCCCTTCAGGACTGCCTCCCAAGGGACTCTGTCAACCAGGCCCCTTAACAGGCCAAAGTCTGCCCTCCAGAAGTCCAAGGTGGCAGTTCTGCTGACCACCCTCCTTACTACTCCCAAGAATTGAAAACTCTATCATTTCATGATTGCTATGCCTGAGATGGCCTCCATTACCATCACATCACCCACAAGTCCTTCTCTGTACGCAAACAACAGGTCCAGCGGGGTGCCTTGCCTAGTTGCCTCACTCACCAGCTGTGTCAGGAAGTTATCTTCCACACACTCTAGGAACCTCCTAGACTCTCTTCTTTGCTGTATTGCATTTCCAGCAGACATCTGTTAAGTTGAAGTCCTCCATGAGAACAAGGGCTAGCAATTGCAAGACTTCTCCCAGCTTCTTACAGAATATTTCGTCTGCCTCTTCATTCTGGTGGGGTAGTCTGTAACAGACTCCCACCATATCTGCCTTGCTGGCCTTTCCCCTGACTCCTACCCATAATCACTCAACCCTTTATTCGCCATCGTCAGCCTCTAGATAGACAAAACACTCCCTAACATGTAGGGCTACCTCACTGCCCCTCCTTCCTTGCCTATCCCTTTTGAAGAGTTTATAGCCATCCACTGCGGCACTCCAGTTGTGTAAGTCATGCCACCATGTTTCCATGATTGCAATTGCATCATAGTTTTCCAGCTGCACAATGGGTATTAAGATTTGGTTTTATTTCTCATTATCCTGCTCTGATTTGATTAGTAATAAGTTAAATTAATTTTCCCCAAGTCAAGTCTGTTTTGCCCATGACAGTAATTAGTGAGTGATCTCTCCCTGTCCTTATCTTGGCCCATGAGCCTTTTGTTATATTTTCTCTCCCCTGTCCAGCTGAGGCGGAGAGTCATAGAGTAGCTTTGGTGGGTACCTGGTGTCTAGGCAGGGTCAAGCCACCACATCAACACATTGTGGAGCAGACCAAAGAACCTCGCTAGCATACCATCCCTCAAACATAGGCTTGCCGCTTCCAGGCTTTTCCCTAGTGAGCCTGGTTTTAACCCTTTCCCTCTTTAAACCTAGTTTAAAACTCTTTCAATGAGCCCTGCTAACTCCTCTGCAAAAATCCTTTTCCCCCTTTAAGACAGGTGTACCCTATCTGTCGCCAGCAGGCCTGGTGTTGTGTAGATCGACCCATGACCAAAAACCCCCAAATTTTGCCAGTCACACCAGTCTCAGAGTCAGGTATTGATCTGCTGGGCCTTCCTGTTTCTTCCTTCATCAATTCCTGGAACTGGAAGGATAGAGGAGAACGCCTCTTGTGCACCTGATCCATTAACCAGTCGTCCCAAGGTGGTGAAGTCTTGTTTGATTGCCCTTGGACTTCTTATTGCAACTTCATCACTACCTACACGAAAAAGCAACAATGGATAATAATCCAAGGGCTGTACCAGGGTAGGAAGTTTCCTCGTCACATCGTTAACCTGGGCCCCAGGGAGGCAGCAGAGTTCCTTAGGAAGTGGGCCAGTCTGCATATTGGGCCTTCTATTCGAGTCAGAAGAGAGTCTCCTATGACAAAGACCTGTCTTTTATTCTTTATGGAAGTGGTTTTGATGCAGGGTATAGGCCACCTTAACCTTGGTGACACCTGTGACCTAGACTAACCATCATCCTCATCATTGTTCGGTTCCACTTGCAGAGCCTCATACCTACTGTGCAAGGGCACCTGGGAAGGCGGGGTGGTCACAGAGGAGACGCGCCTGCTGTGCCTGGCAGGAACTTGCCACCATTGCCCCCATCCCTTAAGTCACCATGTTCTGCTGGGTGAAGAGAGGATAGGGAATCCCCTGTATCATGTGTCCTGTCTTCCTGACAGGTCTGTCCCAGCAAAGGTGGGGTGTGATTCCAGTAGTCTCTCTCTTTCTCTCTCGTACTCCCTGATACTCCTCAACCCACTCACATCCTCCCAGAGCTCTGTCGCTAAGCGGAGGAGTTCCTCTCCCTGGGCACACCTCCCACAGCTCTGCTCGCTGCTGCTGTCCCGTACTGGCGTAAGAGTAGGGCACAGCCTGTAGCCTGGCACCTGGACAGGCGAATGTGTAAGATGAGACACAACTAGGCAAGACTATGAAAGGGTCAAAAGAAAACAGTCTTTGGTGACGATAGGAAGAATAGAGAAAGACTTGGTGTACTGCAAAACAAATGAAGCTGATAAGACCAAGGGGTCCTACTGTCTTCTTAATGTCTTTTTTCTCTTCCTCCCACCCCCCCTTTTTTTTAAAAAAAGTCTTTACTGGGAAAGGTTAATGGTGATGCGGCTCTTGGCACAGTTAATACCTGTAACATAGAGATAAAAGTCAGGCTAGGGCTGGGAGAGAATGTCTAAGGATAAAGTTTCATGAGGTAGGTGACCTGATTTAATGGCTAGCAGTTGCCAAAAGGGGAGATCCCACATGCTTTGCCATGTGCAGACACAAACACCCACAAACCAGCATTGTTAGCCACATTCTCTCATTCTGTTGTGCTGGCTCTGGCATTTGTCTGACCCTGTGCTGAACCAGCTAAGCTTGCTAAATGGGCAAAAAGCAAATCCAGGAACAGTTACTGGAAGAAGTGGTTGTTTTTCCATCAGTAGTTCACAAGAAGAAAGTAGAGAACATGCAGGAAAACACACAGTAAATCTGTTGTAGAAAACACTAAAGCAGCCTGCCCTGATGTAGTCTACCCACCTACAGACACTGTCAATGAAGAAGGGTGAGGGCTAATTAAGAGTTCAGAGAAGGGCAACCAAAATTAATAAAATCACAGAAAACATGACTAACAGAGAGAACTCTGGGACTTGAGATTATTTTTTCAAAAAAAGACTGATGATAAAGTGACAACAGTCTTTATTCAGGTAAGCAGTACATAATAAAGCAAAAAGAATTAAAAAGGAAAGAAACTGACTATGAAGACTGTCCTTAGAGGAAGACACCAGTCTGGGGCACTGACCTGCAGAGAAGGAAAGAATGAAAGTGGAAAAATCTTTCACGGGATTAGGAAGGTTAGAAAGACAAAATACGGGAAAATATGAAGTGAAGAAAGGCCAAAAATAGAAAGGAACAAAAAGTGATGAAATATAGGTGACTGTTGTAAGGAAAAGGACATGTCCCCTAAGGGATAATTTTACTTAGTTTTTTCAGCCAGAAAGCACTACTGGCTTTAATTTCTAGAATAAAAAACTTATTTTTTAAAATCTTTATTTACTGATACAGCAGTTTATTCTGGTTACAAACTGCAGGACTATGATATGGAATAAACTCATGTAAGTCACCAGAAGAAGATATTATTTCCAGGAATCACACCAAGAGAAATCAACTTTCAAGTAAAAAAAGCTGCCAGGTAAATTGTACATTTTTTGTCATCTTCCATGATCATGTTCCCCGGCTAGCCAAAATTACTTTTCAGAGGTCTGTCTTCAGGTCTTCTTTAAAAACCATCTACACCTGGTTTGCAGAAGCTGACAGTAATAGAAATTTAAGAACTCAGACTGTAAACCTAGAGAGTTGTCCTGCCAAATGCAGTGTTACAGAATAGAAGATGCCACAACAAAAAGCACCAGCCCAAACTGACCTCAGGCAGTTTCAACACAGAAATAAGAAAAAGCATTGAACAGTGCTTCAGAACCAGAATAAACTGCAAAAGCAAAGGGGTTCTCCCTCTCCTGACATTTGCGAATCGTGACTCGGTATCTCTCTGGAGTAGGCGTGTTACTGAAACACAAGGACTTCATGGCAGCACAAAGTTTTTGCTAGGCTATCTAATAACCTTAAGATTGTAAACATAAAAATGGCTTCTTTTGCCTCACAGTCAAGTTATACAAGTAATTTGGGATGCCAGGGGACACTAATTCCTGGTATTATTGCTTAACTGATTATTACTTCACATGGAAGATAGAATCCCTTAAAAATTATCTAAGCACGACAACGCTGCGTTTTGCTAGAACTAGATTCAGATCGTCCTGCCCTGCCCCCATCACAGTGGGGAAAAAATAATGGAACTTCGCTGCTGTAATAGGCAAGATGCCTTTCAAGTAGCTGGCTATTTGTCGACTGGCAATGCAAAGTGCTTGTGGAAACTGCAATGCCGTAATTACATTCTTGTTTATGAGGTTTTCGACCGCTTTTTCTGGAGCCGATACCGCGCACGGCGCCCGCTGCCGATGACAAAACCAGCGCACCACACGCACGGGCTGCGCCCCCGCCCACCCCGCAGCTGCTAGGCAGCACCCCCGGCCTTCCCGAGCAG